TATATTTCAGGAGAGCCTAGCATATGATACCACAACATCCAGCTTAAGAATAGAGGTGGAGGCGGTCACTGCAGTTTTCCGCTGGTTAGAGAACACGACTCACACACAAACACACACACACACACACACACACACACACACACACACACACACATCGTGACTGTAACTGAAGCAGAAAGCATGCTGAAGAAGATCAGGACAGGCATGCTTCGTGCAGAGAGGCATGCTTTGCTGCGGAGGACACGGGTGGGGAGTATTGTCTGGATTTTTTCACCGGGGCACGCCGGTGTGTTGGAAAATAAACAGACGAACAGACTGGCTAGCTCTGCACAACTTGGTGGAATACTGATACATGATAAGGCAGACGTGGTTAGTGCCTTGTGTGAGAGCGTTACAGTTCGGAGGAGCAGATGGATCAACACAGCTTGTGAGATTGATGCAGTGGGGGGGGGGGGGGGGGGATAACGAGAGGTTCTGGCAAATGCTTGAGGCTCCGAAGAAAGGCAAGACGGACGTTTTAACAGAATGCTACTGGCAAAAAATCATATATATATATATATATATATATATATATATATATATATATATATATATATATATAAATTTACTGGGCACTTCCTAATAAGAGACAGGACAGAGAAATTTACCTTTTAAAGGGGGGGGGGGGGTATAATCGGGCAAGCAAAGCAGAAGAACGACTGAATTAAGAAATGTACCTTATACCGCAAACAGAGGAAACGTGAAAAGCTTATAAATTTGGGTAAAAGACAAAACTATGAGCAACCTCAATCATTTAATATGACAGATGACAGAGAAGTGAGACGCCTCATCGCTGGCGCTAGACCCAATACATGCGACTGCAGGAAATAAGGAATGTGTAATAAATATTATAAAGTATCACTCACAGTTAAGCTAGCTTATCTCAGTAGCAATCAGCTATGTACACAAAGTATATAGATCATTGTGTACAAGTGTATGCCCATGGCCTCGTTAAGTTAAATTACAATTTAGCACCAAGTAGCAATAGACTGTAAATTATTATCCTTTTAGTGTGTGCATTCTAGAATTTAAGACTCAACAGGCCACGAGAAAAAACTGTGTCATTGTTATTAGAAGTTTTTAATAATTAAAAAGTTAGTTGCCTATCTTTTATGGCAGTGTTCTTCAACCTTTGGCCGCAGAATAGCCCAGGTGTGTCGAGGAAAAGTCCAGGTTGGCCGCAAAAAATATGTCATGTAACAGGTTGGGTAGGTAGTTTATCTCTTGCAGGATTGCAGACGGCAGAATTAACACCTTAGTGTTGAGAATGAAGTAGGTTAACATTAGGAAAACACCCTTCGGCAGTCTAAAACAATCATATTAACTCCCCGACGATACGAAACGTGTAATCCCGTCTTGGGCTTGGAATAAGGAAAATAACTCACGCTATGCTAACAATGTCAAACATGGACACTATCTTAAGATGACAGAAGGAAAATACTCATAACAGAAATGAAATGTTTACGCACTATGCGAGGCCTAACGAGGAAAGATCAACTTGAGAACGGTTAAATCAAGAGGAGAGTTGACGCAGAACGAATACTGAACTTTATAAGTAGTCAACAAATCAAATGTTTTGTCCATGTGACCATATTAGCAGCAGACAGGATACAACAGAGAGCAATGTTATGCAGAAGATGGACAACAGAAATATCAAGAGACATTGAGAAGTACTTTCTAAGAAGCGTACAGAAGGGACCGTTCCAGAGATATCTTCCTGTGCTGAAGCCGCTAAGCATTTCTGTAGTAAAGAAAGAAGAAGAGAGAACTCACTATGCTGATATCACATTAGTTGACAAAATGTAAGTCTGTCAGATTTAACAAATAAGCTGCCCGGCTCTCTAGCGAAGTTGGCTAAACCGGATAACGCGAGAACCGGGTGACGAACTCCTTGTGGTCCGGGTTCACTCCCGGGGGTAGGCAGAAAAGCCACATTTTCTCCCAGATTTACGGTATTTACAATGGAATCAAGGCCGAAAGGCTGCGATATCCATAGTACTGAGCCTAAGGGTTAACAACTCATGGCTTCTGGATACTAAAACAAACAAACAACAAATAAGCTACTAACTACGCCTGTGTTTGTTTCTGTGATTGGCTAGCCGCTAGTTGGGCCACAAAACGATTTCCCATGTTCTGGTGGGCCACGAGTGTAAAAAGGTTGAGCAACACTAGCTTTATGGGAGGTTGCAAAGCAACTCGAACATTTGTTGGCTTTTTTGTGGTTTTACTGGTCAACTTTCCTTTCAGTAGGTTGCAAATGATTACGTCTTGAAAAAAAAAAAAAAAACCGACTCACGAAGACAACTGATTGATTTCATTAGAAAGAGGTAATCTACATTATTTGTTCATGTGGTAAGAAGGACAAAACTGGAGTATATCGTGACAGTAGCGAGAATATTGTGTTAAACAGTGCCATTTTTGTGTTCATATTCACATGCTTGCATTTCAAAATTGGTATGATGGTCAAATGAAACCAGATATTCTTTAACAAAAAATTTAAGTAACTCATGGCGTTGGCGATCACACCTTTTCATAGCTTGCTTTCTCCAACAGCATGTATCTGTTCGGCTGACATACTTCAATAACATGTAAAAAAAAAAAAAAAAGTCAAGAACTTTTTCGCTTCATCTTTTTTTTCTGTGCTTTCTTTTCATAAATCTTTCCAGAAGTAACAACATGTTCCAGTTTCTTCGATACATTGACTCTGTGTCATGGCCGCCTGAAGCTCGCCGTAGTCACGTGACTTGCCAGGGTAACTTCAAATTTACGATAAATTCCGTCTGCTTACAAAGGAGGGGGTATTATATATTTCAATTACGTCCTTTTTAGGACGTAATTTTTTTTATTTGAAGCCCCACTCTGGCTTTTGCCAGGGGCCGCAATATAGACAGGTCATCAATATGGCCAATTGTCTGAACGCGGTTTCTGAGACCTCTCCATGGTGATCCTTATCCACATGGTGGCACTTTGTATCATCGAGTGTTTATCGCTTGTGTGATGTCCTAGTGGGGTAGAAAGTCAGTCAAAGGAGGGGGTTGTTAACAATAAAAATCAACAACCCCCTCCGGCCATGTCCTTCGGCCATGAAACAAAGACAATGTATCTAAGAAACATTTTGCATTTCAGTTGAATTTATTCAGTTTTGTGCTTTATTTTATATTGACGTAACTCTGTAGTAACGCACCTGATGAGATACAGCGAAATATGACTGGCAATAAATTATGCAATGTAATGTTTGTATCCGCCTTATTTAAATTTTGCGTGTTGTTAAATGAACAGACATTTATTACTGATAAAATACTGCTGTTGTGTGAAAGATCAATGTTTGGAAGGACCGAATGTCAGAAGGGCCTGCAGGCTGAAGTTGTGACAATTTGACAAAAAAGTTCCTGGGTATGTTCGCAAGTTCGCTCGACACTCGAAGCGGCACTCGATTTAGAAGACACTTACAACAGAGTCAGATACAGTATCTTGAGAAAAGTGCTTACGGAGAAGGGAGTCTGTCCTTGGTTGGTGAACTGGATAGCAGCTGTTTTGTATACTCGCCAGGTAGCTCTCCGCCTGGGCTCATGGACCTCTGAACCATGTATTCAAGCTCTAGGACTGCCACAGGGATCTGGAGTTTCACCTGTACTATTCAATGTTTTTACGAACAAGATTGCCTGAAAGGAAACACCTGGAGTTGGCAGAATATTGACATTTGCAGATGATGTTCTTGTAAATAGGAGGGGAAGAGATCGGAATCAAATAGCTGAAGAGTTACAGGCGACAGTAGATAAGATGACTGACCGGTGTACAGAGATGAGTGCTGTAATCAACCCAGAAAAGACAACCGTCCTGTGGTGTTCTTTGGACAACAGGATTGTTAGAGCGGATGTTCCCAGACTCAAAATAAATGGCAGAGAAATCAAAAGAGAGCAGACTGCGGTACCTTTGACAGAAGTTGGTCTTTCAGGGATAACATAGAGGGAGTTGTGACAAGGGTTCGAAAAGGTCTAAATGCACTAAAGATTATGTCAACGATGGACATGGAGCAGAGAATGCTGTTAACACTTTACCAGCACTTAATCATTTCAGTGATTGATTATGGATTGGGGTTTTTCACTGTCTCGAAGAGTCAGCTAGAGAAACTGACAGCATGCTGAAAAAGGTGAAGACAGGGATGGTTCAAGCAGAGTGCTTACTTCACTGGAAAGGTGGGGAGCATACTTTGGTCCTTTATCCAGGCCATGCCGGCGTGGTGGGTAATGAGCAGGCAAACAGATTGGCTGGATCTGCACCACAGGGTGGTAAATTGATACATGACAAGGCAGATTTGGTCAAGGCCCTTAATGAACAAACAACAGAATCAGTAGAGAAAGACGAATATTATGGCCTGGAGAGAATGAGGCACCTGGTTGTAACCAGAGGGTCTGGCCGGCTCACTACACTCAGAGGAAAGGCAAGACGCACTTTTAACCAGATTGCCATCGGCACCATCAGTACTGGAACTCTGCGCTGGCTGCAGAAGATGAGGAGGAAGCATGCACGGGAATGCTCCAAGTGCTGTGATGTCAGTTCTTGACTCAACTCAACTTAACTCGAAGCGGCAGAAGAGAAAGTGAAGAACAGGAAGAAGAATAAAATGTAGGTATTCTTTTGTAAAACTTTATCTATGAAGAATTGCAAGGAAATTTGTGGATTGTTTTCCAATTGTATAGAATTAACAGCCATATTAAAAAAGAAAAAGTTCAATATATTATGCAATAGATTTTTTTTTAAATCATCCGTGAAGAATTTGTTGCATAGTATGTTCTTTAACACTATAACGATAATTGTTTCTTGATCAAAGTAAATATTGTTTCGTTTAAAAAAAAACCCAACTTCACATTCTCTAAGCGCCATAACGACTGAATGTGTGCTAATACTAATAGCATATTGCTTTTCCGTAATTTCAATGACATGCAACTGTGCAGGCCAATATGAAATTACGGTAAGTCTGATTTGTTTTTACATTTAATTATTTAAACCTATATTCAAAAGCTGAGAGTAACCACACACTCTCTCCGTTTTCTTTTGATCTTGTGGCTCCAGCTTTGACTTGAGTATTTAGGATTGAGATTAATAATCACCGTATTGTTATTTTACTTATTTGTGAACTATATTTCATGATTTCTATCCCAACCGTTTAAAGCCGTAAGCTTGATTTTCAAGATAACATTTAATCAAGAGTGGGTTTAATCTGTTGATGTTAGGCATAAATATTTCGGTATGGATTCGTTCAAATATGGCATAAAATGTCGAAATTGATAGATACCCGACTGCATCGTATTGAACAAGTATCAAGCTGGTGTAAATTTTTAGCTTATATTTTGCCAATAATGACTTTCTGGAAAGTTCACGGGTAGTGAGCATACTTTGGATTGTTTCTCCAGGCTATGCCGGCGTGGTGGGTAATTAACAGACAGACAGATTGGCTGGATCCGTACCATAGGTGGTGAATTGATACGTGACAAGGCAGATGTGGTCAAGGCCCTTACCGAACAAGCAACGGAATCAGTAGAGAAAGAAGATTATTATGGTCTGGATAGAATGAGGCACCTGGGTGTGACTAGAGGGTCTAGTCAACTCACTACACTCAGAGGAAAGGCAAGACAGACTTTTAACTAGATTCTGACCGGTGCCATCAGTATTGGAACTTTGCGCTGGCTGCTGACGATGAGGACGGTGCATGCACGGGAATGCCCCGAGTGCAATGATTTTAATTCTTGACTCAACTCAACTGGAGAAAGAGGAAATTGATCCGGTCAACAACCCACAAAAAACTTGAACGTCTTCACATAGAAATGGCTGAAAGGGATGCATGTTTGCATAAAGCAGATGCAAAATGTTAGTTCCTACTCAACATTGAAGGGTTGTGTTATTTTTTAGATATCGAACTAAAGCAAAAGTTGACAGCTGATGTGAATTTTACAGCTATGGTGAGGGGTAGCTATGCGAAGAGAGTTTGTATTGCAAAATGCTGCTGTTGTTTGTTTTAGTATCTAGAAGCCATGAGTTGTTAACCCTTAGGTAGGTAATATGGATATCGAAACCTTTCGGCCTTGATTCCATGATGAATACCGTAAATTTGAGAGAAATGTGGCTTTTCTGCCTACCCCAGAGAGTGAACCAGGACCACAAGGAGTTCGTCACCCGGTCACCGCGCAATCCGGTTTAGCCAATTACGCTAGAGAGCCGAGAAAAATGCTGCTGTTAAGTGAAACACGCATTAAGATGACACAACCTAAAGAACTTCCGAATTGCATTATTAAGAATGGGTACAAGTTCTCACAATTGTTCAGATAATTATTGCCATTGTAGTTTTTATTGGCAGCTATAAAATATTTTTTAGTAAAATTCAACTGATGTTATCAGTTGAAAGACGCATTAAAGAAGTTAAATGTCGAATAGCTCAAGCACAGACAGCATTTTACAAAATGAAGAATATTTTATGCTATCTTTCTTTGTCAATTAAGACTAGAAAGAGAATTCTTAAAAACTATACAAATTCTATATTGAAATACGGGTGTGAATCATGGACAGTTAGTAAACTATTGAAATTTGGAAGCGGCGTTTGGGAGGCAGTGGATCTATTCTTGTTTTCCCCCCAATGGGACCCCGGAACCCACACGGGGAATCTAAGGAATAAACATTTACTAATGTTTAGTTGTTATATTTAGCAAATTTAAACAGTTAACATGTGTTTGTTTCATTGTTGAATTTACAATTTTTAAACTAAACACCCCTATCTGTGTCATTGTTAAATGTCACATATTTGAACAGTAAACATCTGTGATGGTTTCATTGGTAAATTTGAGGCATTTGAACAGTAAAAAGGCGTGAGTTTCCGTGTTCTGTTCAACATATTCCAGAAGTAAACACTAGTGCTGTACCGAATATTCGCTTCGTATTCGCTTCGGGGCCGAATAGTGGACCTATTGACTATTCGGCATTCGGCCGAATAGTTGTGGTCGGTCCAATTACGAATAGTAGTTACCTTACACCCGCTTCTGCATACACAGCTTAATGCTGACAGCATGGAACGATTGGTTTTGTGAAAGCTAATGCAGCTTTCATGCATTAACTAAGCTGTCAGTGACAGTTTCCAAGTTTAGTTACTTGTTATAATACTTAGGATTCTTTCAATCCTAGTTATTAGCTATCACAGACTGACTGAAGGATGCAGAACAGAACATGTTTTTAAATGTTTACTATTCTGTACGAATGCTAGCTAGACATGGACAGAATATAAACTCCGGCCACATACAAGTCGATAACATGAAAATCAAACGAACAGAAACATATAAGTACTTGGGTGCAAACTTAAACTGTTCCAACATGCTGAGAGAAGAAATACAATCTAAAATACAATCTAGAAATAAATTGTACTATGCCCTTCAACATCTGCTAAAGTCAAAGTGTCTGTCTCGCAACGCCAAGATCAAAATATATAAAACGTTGAAAAGACCAGTCGTTTTATTTTTTTTTTTGCTCTGAAACTTGAAGCAGAAATAAAAGAGATGAGGTCTTATTACAGGTTTTCGAAAACAGTTCTACGACAAATCTTTGGACCCATCAAAGATGCTTACAGCGGGGAATGGAGAGTCAGAAGCAACAACGTAACACATAATCTGTTTAAATCACCATTGATCACTGGCATCATGAGAGCTAACACACTAAATGATTGAGGCATATTGAAAGAATATCAGATGACAGAGAAGTAAAAACTGTATACACCTGAGAGAGGAATGTGGGTAGACCACGAGGCAGACAAAAAATAAGTTCGAGAAATAATGTCCAGCCAGACCTGCAAACAACTGGTGTCCCAAATTGTGAAGATAAGGCCAGCCAGAGAGATGAATGGAGACGAGTGATATCTGCAGCAGTAAACCTCAATGGCTCAGAATGCTAAAGAAGAAGATGACTATTCTGGGCTACTTTATGTGAAGTAAAAGTTCAGCGTACATTTGACATTATAAATGTGTGTTTTTAAGAGATATTTTATATACTATACACTAATCGTTTTCGTATTCGGCCGAATAGTTGTTTCCGCTATTTGTATTTAGCCGAATAGTGAAAATCACTATTCGGTGCAGCCCTAGTTTCCAGGACTATACCTGTTCAGCTACCTTGTGTGTAGATGTTTAGGGAGGCAATCTAAATAGCTCAAGGTTGGGTCGAAATGGGAGCCAGGGTCAATTTTTTGAAGAAAATTAAAGCTGACTCCACCAGGACTTGAACCAACGACCTTCCGATTCGCAGGCCAGCGTCTAGCCGCTACACCCTAGTGGCTCCCTGCTACAACTTAGTGGCACCCTGCTACCCCCTAGTGGCTCTCCGCTACACACTAGTGGCTCCCCGCTACACCCAACAGGTTCCCCGCTACAACCTAGTGGCTCCCCGCTTATAACCTAGTGGCTCCCCTTTACCCCCAGTGGCTCTCCGCTACACCATATCAACATGGTTACAACAAACTGTTCTCATTGACTGGCAATATGCACAAGATAATATAAACAAGTCTGAGGCCACTGATGAAACGACAGTTGGCTGTACATATATTCAAAAAGTTATTTGAACAGAATAGCAAATCCATAAGAACTTTTGTGTGTGTGTGGCATTCCAAGTTCAGGAAAAAAGCATTCGACAGAGTCGATAGGCAAGTTTTGTGAGAAATAATAGCTCGGTATGGAGTAAGCAAACACTCAACTAGAGTATAAAGTGATCGTAGAAGAGTAGTTAGAATAAATAGGGGAACATTGAAACCAGTGTTTCCCAAAATGAGCGCTGCTGGGAAGTATTGAATGAAAACAAAACAAACAGCAGCAGTAGTGAGAGAGAGAGAGAGAGAGAGAGAGAGAGAGAGAGAGAGAGAGAGAGAGAGAGAGAGAGAGAGAGAGAGAGAGAGAGACAGAAAGAGAAAGAGAGACAGAGAGAGAAAGGAGAGAGAGAAAAAAAAGAGAGAGAGAGAGAAAGAGAAAGAGAGAGAGAGCAGTCTTGTCAACTGTTCGTACGTTTCTCGGTGTAACGTAACAGATAAAAATCAAGCAACAATTGCTTAATTTTCAAAACACAAAAATAAATTATATTACAACCAATCAGATTCAGACTTATAACTAAATGAATGCGTTACAATTTAGTTGTGTAATAATATTTCCCATACTTCGACAATGCGCTGAAAGATAGCCTGAGCTGGAACTTCTACAAGGACAACATCATCATCATCATGTAGCAGGTCCTTTGCAGAACGTCGCTCTCATCACAGTCTGCCTGAAAGAAACTCGGTCTGTCGCCAATTCTCCCGCCTCATGCACTTTCACACTCAAGGAGTCACTTATATCATGTGCCCATCTTCGTGTCGGTCGGCCCCTGCCCCTCCTTCCTGGTACCATGTCTTCTGCTATAATTTTTTTTCCAATCCGTTGTGGCGCTTGATATGACCAAAATATTTCAGCTTCCGAGACAGGCTGCTGTTTATTAGCAAATCTTCCTTGATGTTCAGATCTTTTAAGATGTCAATATTTCTCCTCTTTTTTGTTCAAGATATTCTGAGAATCTTTTTCTATCATTTCAGCTCAAAAGCCCCTATTCTCTTTCTTAATGACTGAGAGATAGTCCACGACTCACATCCGTATGTAGCCACAGGGAAGATGCATACTCTCAAAATTCAAATTTTTATCTCCTTGCTGGTGCTTAACCATAGACTTTTAAGGCTGTTCAATCTTTACAAGGACACCATGTATATTAAAAAAGATTTTTCCGCAACAACGATCTTCTTCTTCTTATCTTCGACCATTTTCCTCAGCTAGGTATTGGGGTGGGGGGGGGGGGGGATGTAAGGATCGTTTATGCGCTTTTCCCCCAATGCATTGTACAAGCTGGTGTTTTTTCTGTTAGGTTGCCTTCTTGTAGTGAGCCCTGCTCGCTCCAGTTGGATTTTCGTTCACTAGTCTTCTTGTAATGAGGACTACTCGCCTAAGTTCCATGTAGTTCACCAGTATTCTTTTAATAAGCATTGCTCGCTCCAGTTCGATGTATGTTCACCAGTCTTCTTGTGGTGAGCACTGATCGCACCAGTTCGTTGCTGGTTCACCAATTTTATTGTAGTGAGCATTGTAATGTTTGCTCATCTGTCTTCTTGTGGTGAGCATTGCTCGCCCCAGTTCGCCAGTCTTCTTGAAGTAAGCACTGCTCGCTCCACTTCGATGTTCGTTCACCAGTCTTCTTGTAGTGAGTACTGCTCGCTCTAGTTCGATGTTCGTTAACTAGTCCTCGTGTATTGAGCACTGCTCGCCCTAGTTCCTTGCTGGTTTACCAGTCTTCCTGTAATGAGCACTGCTCGCCCAAGTTCGATGTTCGTTTGCCGGTGTTCTTATTGTGAGCACTACTCGCCCTAGTTTGATGTTCGTTCAGATGTCTTCTTATACTGAGCACTAATCGCCCAAGTTCGATGTTCGTTTACCAACGTTCCTGTAGTGAGCACTGCTGGCCCCAGTTTGATGTTCGTTCACCAGCCTTTTTGTAGTGAGCAACTGCTCGCCCCAGTTGGGTGTTTTTTGACGTCTTTTTGCAGTGAACGCTGCTCGCCAAAATTCATTGCTGGTTCACCAGTCTTCTTGTAGTGAGCACCACTCGCCCCAGTTCATTGCTGGTTTACCAGTCTTCTTGTATTAAGCATTGCTCGTCTTAGTTCATTGCTGGTTCACCAGTCTTCTTGTATTAAGCATTGCTCGTCCCAGTTCATTGCTGGTTCACCAGTCTTCTTGTAGTGAGCACTGCTCGCTCCAGTTCGATGTTCGTTCACCAGTCTTCTTGTAGTGAGCACTGCTCGCCCCAGTTCGATGTTCGTTCACTAGTCTTCTTGTAGTGAGCACTGCTCGCCCCAGTTCATTGCTGGTTTACCAGCCTTCTTGTAGTAAACAATGCGGGCGCCAGTTAGATGTTGGTTTACCAGTCTTCTTGTAGTGAGTACTGCTCGCTCCAGTTCGATGTTTGTTCACCAGCCTTCTTTTTTGAGCACTGCTCGCCCTAGTTCATTGCCGGTTCACCAGTCTTCATGTAGTGAGCACGACTCGCCCCAGTTCGATGTTTGTTTACCAGTCTTCTTATAATGAGGACCGATTTTGTGCTTGCCTGCACTTATGGTTGAATGCATGTATGTGTATAGGTTGCACCCCACCAGCACATCACACAAAGCGAGAAAGACCCGGTGACACAAGGTGCTACCTTGTGGATGAGGATCGCCCGTTTAGAGGTCCCGGAAACCCCGTTCAGTCATCATTTTTTGGCCATATTATGAGAAGAGAGAAAATAGAACATGTTGTGACCACTGGAAAGATTTGTGGAAGGAGGGATAGAGGAAGACAACGAGAGAAGTTTCTTGACAGTCTTGTTGCATGGCATTGAGGTGTGTCGGCACACGAACTGATACATGCTGCAGGAGATCGCAGATTGTGGAGAGACATGATCATCTACGCCTGTCGGCAAGGCACCTGATGATGATGTTTAATGGTAAATAAGGTAGTTTTTGGCAACACCTAATATCGTCTCCTTGTTAAACTTAACTTTGTATAGTTGATATTGAATTTTCGTTCTTCAAATGTCTAAGAATGGAATACCTGGTACTGGTGCTGTCGTTTGTCTGTACGGAAGCGGGAAGGAAGAAATACAACTGCCGTCACATGCCGCTTCCCAGGTAGGAATACCAGTAATTTATGTTAACGAACTCAGTTATCGTTTTGTCTGATTCAGTTTTCGTTAATACCTGTGAGTGTTTCAAGTTCCAGTGTTAGGGATACTGAAGATTAGATTACACACCTGTGTCTTTCATCTCTGCCGGAGCGTCTGAGACTTTTTGGCATATTCTTTTTTTTTTAAACAAGATAACCTAGTAGGAAAAAGGTCATAAGTATTCTTATATGAAAAAAGTGATTTCTAGCTAATGTTACAACGGCTTTTTCAGAAAAGCCGTGAACGAAACTAAACATGTAACTATGGTGAACGTTCAGAAACAGCGCTGCACATTTTGCATGGGCAAAAAAAATAAAAAAAATAAATAAAAAGCACACAATCCACAGTGACCACAGTACAAAGCAGGGAAAGCCTCACTGCATGCACAAGGTAAAAGACGTTACGACCGGAAACAGAGTGGTTATGATGGTCAGTCTGTGTTCAGAAAGAAGGCGAAGACCACAAGAAAGACTGGGCTGTGTATGGAGCGCACGAAATGCACAGAAAACAGCTTCCCATCAAGCGAGGCAAACACTTTGAGACAGGAGGTGATAAGAAGAGAAACGGCCAGATGATCATGTTCTAGGCTGCATTATTTCACTGGCATCACAGACAATAAAACTGTTAGTTAAAAGAAAAAAACTAATTAGCAGAGATCATGTGAGAAAAAAAAAGAAATTACAAGAAACTATCGAAAATAAAGGCCTATAATTAATTTTTTTTTTTTTTTTTTGTCAAAATGGTTTGGCCATTTAAGGGGAATGAATCCACTGATGTCAGCAACGAGAGAGTATATCATGAAAGCAGAGGCCCGTCTCTCTAGCGTAGTTGGCTAAACCGAATGGCGCGGTGAGCGGGTGACGAACTCCTTGTGTGGTCCGGGTTGACTCCCGGGGGTAGGCAGAAAAGCCACATTTCTCCCAGATTTACCGTATTTAAAATGGAATCAAGGCCGTAAGGTTGCGATATCCATAACACCGAGCCTAAGGGTTAACAACTCATGGCTTCTGGATACTAAAACAAACAAACAAACATGAAAGCAGAAACACCTGGAGCTACAGGGAAGAATTTAGACTGAAGGAGACACTCAAGGTTTTAGACTCCACAACATCACAGCAGCATACGCCGTAACTGAGCTTGCCCCAGCTCGGAAACCAGTTATCTGTTAACATGCAACAGCTGGCGGCACAAAGCAGAAAATGGACCCAAAAAAAAATCACAACCGCGGTCTGTCTGTCCGCCTGTTCATTTCTCACCACGCCGGCATCACCTGGAGAGAATATTGAATGGCTGGTAGCATTTCACAATTTCTGTTCTGTTTAGTCAGGAATTTTTCCCAAAAAGTGAGTAACAGCCCTCTCGCACACAGTTGGCCAATTGGTGCTTGTTTTACATTTGAAAAGACAGAAAGGCACAGAGGAAGGATGTGGCCAGAACCACGCCAGCTGCCTTTACTTCCCTGAATATTTCCCGATGATAATTGTATGCTGGACTGATGTGGACACGCCGGTGCGGTCGAACTCAAGACCGTCAGGTCGGCAACCATGTGTGGTCAATAATTAATTCATGTTTATGTTCCAACGCTTTCTTCATAATAATTAAAAAACAAAAGTGAAAAAAAAAAAAAAAAAAAACACTGTCAATTACTGCCTTTATATACCATTTCTGCGTCTTAAGAATCCCCATGAGTTTCATCTGCCTCTCAACACAGAGCTATCTATATAGATATAATCACATCACTTGGGCGGGAATTGTCATGAATCATTTGTCGAACTTCTGATTCTGCAGCGCCTGCTGGCTAGTCCCTGCACTCTCGGCCCAGTGTTATCAAAGCTCTGCACAAGTCTGACTTTTGCTGGGACATTCATTCTGACCCACTCCTCTCCACGCATAATGTTATGAAGCCTAGACATATGTCTAGCGCCATTCAAGACCTTCCTTTTTTTCAGTCTGTGACCCTTAGCTCTGTCTAGAGCTTTATGCATGATGTGTGTCTTATCTATCTCCGGCTAATATGAGATATGACTTAGCTTGCTGCACTTTAATCTCATCTGTAATAGTCAGCAGTGCAAGTATATATCGCAGAAATACTACCGGCGTATCTCTTGGACATCCCAGAAGTACCCTTATAGCTTCATTCCATATGCTTTCAAGTTTCATCAGCTGACATTTTAATATGCTAAGTATTCCAAGTCCATAATTTATCACCGATAGGATCGAATTCTAGAACCTTGTGAATAACATTCTTTGTTCCATATCAGTTGCTGCCATAACCTTAAGTGCATTGAGTCCTTTTCCGCATTTCGTCGCAACTACCCCCACATGATCCCCGAAGGACAGGCTTCTGTCGAATGTGATACCCAGGTACCTCAGTTTGCTTTCTCTTGCAAATGTTTCTATTATTAATTGCACGTCTGGAACATCAGCTCTTGCAATTCTATTGTCCAGAGACAAAACAGCCGCCTTTTCTGGGTTGATGACAGCACCCATTTCTGCACACCAGTCAGTCACTCTGTCCACTCTATCTACATTTGCCTGTTGTTCTTGGGCTGTCTGTTGCTTATCGCTCCCCTGGCTATATGCAAGAACATCATCTGCAATTGTCAATGTCCTTCCAACCCCTCGTGCTTCAAGTTCTGCAATCCTGTTTGTATACAGCTTAAAGAGCACTGGTGAAATTGCAGAATCCTGGCGTAATACTGGTGCGATATTACATGCTTCTGAGGTCCATGTACCCAGACGGAGGGCGACTTTATGTGTCTTTATGAAGGGGGCATATAATCAGAACCAGTATCTTGCACATCCCGAGTGGCGACATCATGAGCATGCTTCGTACTCATGTGGTGCTTGTCTGCAGGGATATGACCAGATGAACAGTTTTCCTCCAAAGTTACCCAGTGAAATAACATACACATTCTTCTAGAAAAAAAGGCAGGCATACAAGGCTTTGGAAGTGGCTGATAAATTATCCTAATTCAGTTGTGTTTTCTCGGCTATCCGGTCTGTTGGCAAAGAATAAACAGACTGGATGGTTCTGCACCACTTGGTAATAAATCTATACACAGTGAGACAGAAAGTGAAGAAAACAGAGATGAATGCAGTCAAACTTTTACCAAGAAGGTTCCACTGAACTGGTAAAGCAGAGGTAGTTGAAAAAAAAAACCAACTTTTGTGTGGGTAAAACATGTACAATACGAAAGCTTGAATAGACCATAAGTCCGAAAATAAAGCACCCAAGGATCTTGCCGGTAATTAACACTCAAGAAAAAGGCAAAGTGAACATGTTATCAAACCACAACTATAACCATTAGGGTTTAAACTACAGTGGCTGATGAGAAAATGGACAATTTGCGTATAATTATGTCTTGAATTTTGTGCTTTCGGTTTTTAACATAATTTATCATTTTGGATGGCAACTGAACAACTAGTCAGACATAATTCTTGACAATAATCACCTTGGTTACTTCATGCGATCGAAACCCACTGCTGGCTCTGTGGAGTTTTATCATGGTATGGGGCGTCGCAGGTCGACCCAGCATAAAATGGCTACCAGGAATTATGTCCTGGGGAAGTAAAGAAGACTGTGGTAATGCTGACCACGTTACCCACCTAGTGGCGTTTTTTCTGTAAAAATATCGGTGCTCTTCTTATGTGCCCGCTGCGCCTAACGGCGTGAAAAGGGATCTTTACTTACTTTTACTTACTTGTTGACGATACTCGTTGGTATACTCTCATCCTCAGGTATGGAGACGACATTGCCGAACTGGAAATTCCCCCTCAGTGTTTTGGTGGCGTTATCATATGGCGTTACCCCGCGGTAGGTGTTGAGGAAACCGTAAAGCCAAATGCCTTTCCTTTAATCTTAAAAAAAAAAGAAAAAAAAATTTACACACAAAATTCAACATCGGGTATGGCTATGTCCGGGAGCTAGCGTCGTGTAGCGGTTAGACAGTCGCCTGTAGATCTGAAGGCCGTGGGTTTTAGTCTGAACAGAGCCGGCGTTTTTACTCTAAAATGAACCAGGCTCCCAGGTCGACCCACTTTTAAAAGGATACAAGGTTTAATTATGGGAAGTAAAGGCGGGCGATGTGATGATGACCACGTCACCTATTAAAGGCCGATAATAAAAAATAAAAAAGACCCTTTTCCACGCCTTCTGACGTATTGGGCATATAGGGCTAGACCTATATTTTATAGACCAATTGGCACTCGGTAGGCGTCTGGGCGCTATTCGGATCTAAACCCAGAAACGTCGGATCAGCGCGCTAGTGCAAAGGCCATTTGGGCTTTCAAAACGTGAGTCTAGACTGGTGTCCCCGATGCGCCCCAGGCGGGTAAAGGGACCGTTACTTTATGGGTGTGTCACAAGTGTTGTGGTGTCTATTGTTGACTCAGCTCAACTGGAGTCAAACAGAAAGGACGATTTGATTATGTGATGATATCTACAATATGTATTCTCACTTTAGTGAGAGGGGCTACAGGAGTGGTCCCAAATGATCAATCAGGAATAAAGTCATAAGATTTTTAAAACGTCGGCGCAGAAAAGTTCTACATTACACCCGAAGTACATAAAATGGTTTGCCCACTTGAAGAGAATACCCTGCGACGCCCTACCACACAAGGAATACATCAATAGAGGAGAGTGATGTAGAGTAAACGGACGATATGGAAAGACAGCATCAGAGAAACTCTACAACAAAATGATGTGTCTACGATCCAGGTGACCAGAAGAGCAGGAACCGCACCCATTTATCTACCACAACACTTGACACGATTCTACGGCCGCAAAGGTTTCTCATCTGTCTATTTATGTGAATGACGTGTAACACAATGAAACCTAACAATCAAATCTCTTTCTTAAATTTTCGTGTATTCTACACGAAGCATAACTGTCTGCTATGTTTGTAAATCGTTGCTGTGTTTGTAATTCAAACTATGATGTTTAACATACATTTATGTAACGTATGGTGCCATTTCAATGGTTTGCGATGAATTGTGACCATATTCCGTATGTTGCGGATTTCAAGCTATACAATAGACATGGCTAATGAAAAAACATTTTGGGGAAGCCTAGTTGATCATATATCTCTTGTACACTTGTTTGTATAGTGAGGGCGCACAGGCTATTTGGAGTTGACAGGTTCGATTTCCGGCATGTTAACTATGACTTTCGATTTTTATTTTGTCTCTTGTGTCCTTTTATCTTTCTGCTTCTTTCTATGAGTGCCCATCAATTCATTATCTGTTTTTTTTTTATATATATGAAATATCTCTACGGCCTAAAGTCCCCCCCCCCTTTTTTTTTTTTCCCCACCCCTACCCCCTTTCCCCATTTATTTGTGTGGATGTGCTTAAGAAAGTGAAGAAGATTATGAAGAAGTGATGAACCGAAACATTTTGGATGCGATCCGAAGCTTCTATGGTGTTGTTTCATATCTGTTGTATCTTTCGTCCTGTCAGGGTTATCTGCACTTGATGTCTGAGAAACTGGCTGGGTATTCTCTCTGCATCCAGGAGAACTGGAAGACTTGGATGGGAAATCTACGGGTTGTCAGCATCCACGGACTGCAGCAGATCCCCGTACCACTGCCAGGTGCTTAGATCTCTGCTGGATTAGGTGACTTCAGTCATAGAACTGTACGGTTTCTACACTCCATCCTCTTCCTTATCCACTCCCTCCCGATCTCTCTGGCCCTTTTTCGTCTGCTGCTGCTACTTCTGCAGCTGGTGATTTTACTACAGCAGCTTTTCTAACTGCAACTACTACTACTACTACAACAACAACAACAACTACTACTACTACTGCTGCTGCTGCTGTTGTTACTACTACTTCAACTACTACTACATCTCTTACTACTACTACTACTACTACTACTACTACTACTACTACTACTACTACTACTACTACTACTACTACTACTACTACTACTACTACTACTACTACTACTACTACTACTACTACTACTACTACTACTACTACTACTACTACTACTACTACGACTACTACTACTATTGCTGCTGCTGCTACTACTACTTGTAATGTTATGCTTCCTTCTGCTCTTCTTCTTTCCTCTTCCTTTTTTACCATATACACCAAAGACGGAGGGGGCAAGTATGGGGGTGATCGATTACAGTGAAGACGAAACCTCGTCTAAGTCTCAAACACTATATGGCTTTCTGTTATATTTTTTTTCATAGCAGTTTAAAGAGAGACGCATTTTAATGGGTGCTTTGCTCACAGTGGTATTGCCAGTCTTCGACACTGCAGCAATCCATCATGGGGCTGGGGGGGGGGGGGGGGGGGGGCGAGAGATTTGAGGTGGGGAGAGGGTGTGGTGGGACAAATAGGGAAGAGGACATTGTTACCCTATTATCACTGTGTCTAAGAGATGTGGCTTTTCTGGGGTCATAGTTTTCTGGCACTTGACGACAACTTTGACAAAATCGTCTAGTTTTCTTATTTTTGTCTTCTTTTCAATACATTCTGATATTTACTAGGAGGCTGCGTGGTCTCTGGGCATGGTCAGCCTCGAGTGCTAGAGGTTCTGGGTTCAATCCCCAGTAAGGGCTGGGATTTTTTCACGTGGACTTGGACTTCTAGTAATTTCCCCTGGTCTCTGGGTAGTGAGATCGGACGCACGTGTGCAATGTGGCACACGTAAAAAATCCATTGGTAGTTGGCAATCGAAAAGAGTAGCCGGTTAAAATTTGGAGTAAAAAATCTCCCCAAATTATTTCAAGATCCTCGCCGGTGCTACAGAGCTTGTGCACTGAGCTGAGCTTCTTCAGACTCAGACTTGAGTTAGATAAAGAACGGAGCACTTATGGGTTACTATCTGTGTGTCATTAGGTTGATCCGTGGTTTAAAACCTCAAAACTTCAAACATTTTACATTTACTTTTAGTTATTTGAGTTTGTCGGCTCGGTGGCTAAGTCGATGCGAACGCTTCGTAATGCCGGGATGCCGGTTTCGATCGCAGCTGCGGGCCATGCGCCTTGCGTTGGTTTCAATAGTGATATCAAGAAAGCCGACCGTCCAGTAGGCAATGGCAAACTACTGGACGTAAATTTGCCTAGAAAACCCAAACAGCCAGGGGCTGTTGGGGTTGGTTCTGCAACGTCCTGTAAAAGAATACGCAACTAACCTATTTCAGTTTATGTTTTGTCTCTTCATTTTTAGACTGAATCGCAGACCTGTGAAATTTATTGTTTAATTACTGGTAATATTTTAATAATAACCAATGACTTTTCAAGTCATTCCTACTTTACCTCGTCACAGACAACCTGTCTTGTGTGCACGACCGTTTTGGCATCGCAGAAATGGTGGTCATGGCGAGGCCTATCTTGAGTGACACGGTGACTTTCTCATACAGGATCATCAAATATGACTTCTCATGACGACACAGTAGTTTCCCTAAAGCGTGGACGGCAACCCGATCCGTCAAAGACATTGTACAGAAACATTGCAGACTCAAACACATCACAGATGTTCAACACGCGAATTTGTAGACATGTCACACACACGCAATAGTGATGTGTTGCGTAACACTTTTGTACTATTTATATCTTAATTATTTGTTGCCTATTTATCGAATAAAATCTGCCCTCGAAAAACTGAGATTATGTGGTCACTTATTATCGTATACACTTGCAGGGTTTGTTACTCTTTTTTTCTGTGAATTTGTATTTCTGCTTAGCAACGTTGATGTCCAGGCACCTGGAGACGTCTGGAATTGTTGTTTTATCGTTCTGTATTTATTTCCTTGTTCTGATGTCGCATGATTAAGAACAAAGTGCATACTGCATTTTTAATAAAGTATTTAAATGGCACATATCGTGATCTCCAGGTCGCGTCGGTGTGTTGGGAAATGAGCAGGGGGGTAGATTGGCCGGTTCTGCACCACTTGGTGGTGAACTGATATATGACAAGCTGGATGTTGTGAGGACTCTTTGGGAGCGAGTGAACAGTGCCGAGGAACATATGGCACTGCGAGGAGTTACAAGGGGATCTGGCCGACGCTCTACGCTCGGGGGTAAGGGGCGAGACGGATATACAATCAGACTGTTACTGTTACCATAGGAATTTTAACTCTTCGCTTGCTGCTGAAGATGGGGACCCAGCGCTTATGGGAGTGTCCCGAGTGCTGTGATGTCGATTCTTAATTTAACATTCAACATATCGTGGGTACATAAAATACAGGACTTTCTCTTTACTGTTTGTTTTTAATTACATTTTAAAGCAGTGAAGTCAGTAGCTGGGGTGGGGTGGGGGGGGGGGAGGGGTGTTACATGAGCCTAAGGACCCAAGGCAGCATGCCTAGTGCAGTCACCACAAACTGTTCACGGCTAGGTCTTTAATTTGTATCCACGACATAAAAAAACGGAGCCGCCGTGGCGGATCGGCTAGACGCCGCCGCGGATCAGAAGGTCGTGGGTTCGCTCCCTGGCGGAGTCGGACTTTTTTCAAAAATGACCTTGGCTCCCAGGTCGACCCAGCCTTGAGTGGGTACCGAGTGCAGTCCCGGGAAGTAGAGGCGGCCGGCGTGATGCTGACCACATCACTCATCTTGTGCCGATTGGTCTATAAAAATATAGGTCTAGCCCTATATACCCTATACGCCTAAAGGCGTGGAAAAGGGTCCTTTACTAATTTTAAAAAAAAAAAAACAACCTGTCATAAGCCCTTTGCCGGAGATTTAAACTTGAGACTTCCTAAGGAAAGCTTAAAACTGTAACTGATAGATCGACCGCTCAAGACATAGTATGTTTTAGATTTTTGTTTTGTTTTGTTTTGTTTATCAAGCGAAAAATGATATAGTATTTTTGAATGCCAAAAAATCTGAGCAACGCAGGTTATTGTTGGCATAACTATTGTTCCCGCTCAGCATGTTTATATGTGTGCGTGTGTATGTACGAGGGGAAGTCAATAAGTAAGTTACAAATGGTTCTTTAATAAAGAAAAAACAAAGTTTAGACGATAACGACTTCTCAGCAATTTATTTTTACACATACAGTTCCTTCATTTGTTCAATATAATTTCCACCAACACTGATGCACTTGTCCCATCGTTTTGTCAGTCCTCCCCAAGCCTGCTGTACAGAACATGCGTGCTCTGTTTTTCGATACCTCATTTTCACCTCACATTCAACTTCTGCGTCATTCGCGAAATGGCCCCCGCCAAGGTGAGTTTTCAGTGGACCAAAAAGGTGGAAATCGCTAGAGGCTAAGTCGGAGCTGTAAAGTGGATGTTCCAGAGGTCCCCACCCTACACGGTTAATTTTATCCTGAGTTAACCGAGCCGTATGTGGTCTGGCATTGTCATGAAAGAGCAGTACCCCTCTAGTCAGCAGACTTGGACGTTGTCTTCGAAATGCATCTTTAAGCATCGATAGAATTTAATAGTATGAATCAGCATTCGCATTGTCACCACCCACCCTTTAAAAAAAAAAAAAAAACTGGTTAAAAGCACTCCTTGACAATCCCAGAACACTGTCAGCATAACCCTCCCTGCTGATGGCGTAACCTGGCATTTTTCAATACAAGACGAAAAAATATGTTTCCATTGCATTGAAGAACGCTTTGCTTCAAGCTGGTTGTGATGCACGCATGATTCGTGCCCAGTAATAACCCTTTTCAGCATGTCTTCTTCTTCATCTGCGTATCGACAGAGATGCTGCACAGACAGGCCTAATCGGTTCATTTTGTGTTTGTCCATCAATTGTTTGGGTACTCACTTTGAACATACTTTCTTAAATGTCAATCGATCATACATTATGTTGTATGCTAAACTATGTGAGCACACTATTACAGCTGCTACAGAGTCAACCGTTACTCGCTGGTCACTTCTAGTCATCTTATCCACGCGCCGGAAGGACGCATCTGTGTGCAATCTCAACAAGACGACCAGATCAAACTTCAGCAAGAATTTTAGAGCGTCCTTCAGAAAAACAAATTTGCCCAGCTATGCACCGCTTTACGGGATAAACTTTTCTCAGCATTAAAGATGCCCGGCTCTCTAGCGTAGTTGGCTAAACCGGATTGCGCGGTGACCGGATGACGAACTTCTTGGGGCCCGGGTTCAATCCCGGGGGTAAACAGAAAAGCCACATTTCTCCCAGATTTACGGTATTTACAATGAAATCAAGGCCGAAAGGTTGCGATATCCATAATACCGAGCCTAAGGGTTAACAATTCATTGCTTCTGGATACTAAAACAAAGAAACAAACTCAGCATTAAAGAAAAAATCAAAAAAAAAAAAAAAAACGCTCAGCAGCACGTTATTCTTTGAGGGTACACTCCTTAAGTACATTTGCCATTTCGATTGTGTGTAGCAAATGCGCCTGCAACACATAGCACCATCTAACGAACAGAGACATAAAGTTGATGTCACCCAATGATACCTTTAGAAACTAACAATATTTTTGCTTCCTTTCAATAAACATGTGTGACTTACTTATCGACGTCCCTTGTGTGTGTGTGTGTATGTGTATACATACATGCATACATACGCACGAAAGCGCGCACACACACACACACACACACGCACACACGCACGCACGCACGCACGCACGCACGCACGCACGCACGCACGCACGCACGCACGCACGCACGCACGCACCCACCCACCCACCCACCCACCCACCCACCCACCCACCCACCCACCCACCCACCCACCCACCCACCCCCACCCACACACACACACACTACACACACACCACACACACACACACACACACACACACACACACACACACACACACACACACACACACACACACACACATATTCACACATATATTCACACATACATACAAGACAGCAGAAAGGAGAAGGAGCGGAGGAAGAAAAGGATAAAACTGATTTTGTAGCTGCAATGTGGATCTGTCTAGGGTTTGATTGCACTCGTCACATTACTGTACTGACGTTCTTAGTTGCATGAAGGTACTAGGAATACATCAGACGACGAACACTCAGTTACTGATCTTTATTAGCTGTTCCATTTTTTTTAAACGCATCCAGAAACCATGAGTTTGAAACCCTTTGGCTCGGTACTATGGGTATCGCAACCCTTCGGCATTGATTCCATTATAGGTACCGTTAATCTGGGAGAAATGTGGCTTTTCTGCCTACCCCCGGGAGTGAACCCGGACCACAAGGAGTTCGTCACCCGGCCGCTGCTAAAGTCAGGTTTAACCAACTTCGCTAGAGAGCCGGGCAAGCTGTTCCATCAACCGCACTGTCCAGTCGCTCACTTGTGTTCTCTTGGCTGCTACGCATGGCTGATTTATGACAAAATTTCCAACTATCTCACACTTTGATTCTCTCTGCCATTACGTTTTGGATCATACATCTGGATCGGACTAACATCTTATTCCTTGTACCTGTACACAGTCAAAGCTTGCAGTCAGTAAACATTCACTTCTGCTCTCGCACAATAACACGTGGTCAGACCATCTGCATTCTTCTCAGCTGTTCTCTTGCATTCGACCGCACACTTCCAGGTCCAAACTTCAACTGACTTCCTACCCTCTTTGGGTTCACATCTTCCGTTCAAGTCTCACGCTTTTCCCGTACCTCTATTCACCCAACACGGGATACTCGAGACATGCTTATCTTGCTTTCCTCTTGTTCCACTGCTCCTCTGACCTTGTCCCCCCCCCCCCCCCCCCAAACCAATCAGGAACTGTCTGGGATTTCCTCGGGAATTCACAACACTACAGAAGCTGTTTGGCCATAGAGCCGCCGTTTGATTTTGAATCACTTTTTTCTTGTGAGTTGTAACCACTAATATTATTACCTCAGAACATGTTTTCCTCCTTTTCCATAAAAAATAAAAAACAAAAAATAAAACTAAAAAACTTTTATTATCTTTGTTGTCCAATAAAAACGATTCAAACAGTATTTGACCAAATGTTTAGATAGGAAAAGTCGTGAGAAGATATCCAAATGGAATTGACAGGAAAGCAGATAACAATGTGAACAAAGCAACTATTACAATCTGGCCATATAAAGCTTGGAGGGGAATGAGTGTTATCTCGGATAGCCGTTTGTGTGAAGGCAGTATGGAGTTGCAAGTTAGTCGTGAACTGTTTCTGCTTGTATTCTGCATGTATGTGACACGGGGTCAAATAGACAGCCCCTGTCAGCTCATCCATGTACAAAAAAGGTGAGAGAGACAGTTACAGCGGTATGTTTTATTCTTGTTAGAGAAAAATTTTCAAAGCGTTTGATTTTGAGCAGTGGTTTCCAACCTTTTTCAAGTAGCGATTCCCCCCCCCCCCCTTTTTTTCCCCTCACAAACCGAATATATAACAAGAACCCCAAGGGCTCTACCCCCATGGACCCCATACCCATATATCATAATGTGATATGAAAAAGGAATGTGTTTTTAATTTAATAATAAGTGCCTTTGTTATCAGTTATCATTATTAATTAGATTTTTAACAGTGATTTGCAAATTGCTTATAAAAACAAAAAAACTTTTTTTTTCTTCATAAATAGTATTAAAAATATTGTATTCTTAATTAACTGGAAACAAAATGCAACTATAACAGTTTATTACACGTATAAATTTACTTATTTTAAGAATTACTTGACGCCCCGACCTGATTCATGACAATTCCCGCCCAAGTGATGGGATTATCTGTACAGATAGCTCTGTGTTGAGAGGCTCACTAAGTGCATGGAGGTTCATAGCAAAAGCGAATGGACGTCGCTTAGCGCAACAAAGCTTTTTATATGATATCACAACGTCTAATCTGAGAATGGAGGTGGAGGCAGTCCCTGTTACCTTCCTCTAATTTGGAATCAGCTGTACACACATGTCGTCATTGTAACTGACTCACAGAGCATGCTGAAAAAGGTGGAGACAGGCATGCTCCGTTGTGACGAGCTGGTCTGGACAGCTGTTTCTGTCCTTTTTAGTATTGTTTTGCATTAGTAATATTATGAAATTTACTTACCTTTTACTTATTGCTTTATTATAGCAATATTATGAATTCATTAATTAGTGAAAAGTTAAAGGGCGAATGAGATTATGAGTAGTCAAGGGGTACTGAAGAGTTACTTCCTCCCTTTTTAAGGACTTCATGTTCCCTTTTCAATTCAGAAATTGACCGGTTCAGACTAAAGTTTTAGTCAGACTGTGGTCCAGTTTTCTGTTTGAATTCCCTGCCAGGGGTGAGTTAATAAAATTAAGTTTAATTTGATGTATTGCTGCTTATTCCTCTGAATTAATTTTATCTGCTGAATTCTGAAATTTGATGCCCACATGGCTTAAAAACCATGATAAATTTCTTTATCCTTACTAACCACGTTTATGATCTAGTATGTACATGTATGCAAACATATGATCTATTTGATGATTCAATTAATGTTTATTTGCTACTAGAAACGTGCATTGGTATTTTAATTATTATAATTATATTAATTAGGTGAGAATTATGTCCTCATAAAAAAATCTCGGCCAGTTCCTGTTTCCAGCTTAGACAATTAAAAATAGGAATGAAGTGTGTATTCATTATACACAATCCCTACTAAGTTGATTTTTACCTCATGGTGATATTAGCTTGATAAATCACTGTATGGCTTTAATTTAGATTTAGTCCAGATAATTCTGAGAATGGTTTAAGAGCTTGAAAAGTATAACACAGTGAGGCTGAATTTAATATTCACACTGTCAGAGAAGAAGAGATGTATGGCCCAGGCTTGTAATTATTATTGTTGTAGATATATTTCCCTATTACTTGGAATACATTTCAGCTCTACAGCAGGTGGCCTTACAATTGTGATAATTATATTTCAACCTTTACAACCTCTAAACTCTACTGAATAAGAAGTAGCACATGTGTGGATTTAGATATAAACTGGAGTGAATGTTGTATATTTTATGTTAATACTGTGACAGATGGAAAGCCCATTGTCATCTATGATTGTATTTTGACATCTATCCCAGCACCCAGTATATTGATGGAGATATGTCAACCCCATTTATTTTCAAACAGGGCAAAGCACCTGTTATGAGTTTCTGGCCTTGGTAAACTCACTCCCTGATTCTCATTAATTGTGATGTGAACCCATGTGGTTAAAATGAGAATATTGTGAAATATGACTGTGTATGTCTGTGTGTGTAAGCATGTTAACCCTTTAAAGGAGTACTAGTGTGCAGACATCAGAACTATTTACACTGAGGAATGTCCTTTCTTTTTGTGTGATGTAAACTCTTGTTCTTGAGAGTATTCATGAAACTGGTTTCCTAAATATTTCCCCATCAGGATTATGAACCATGTTCTGTATACATTCCCATTCTATACCAGTAGAATGTGAACACCTGTTACTATCCTACTCCATATATATGTGTGTAGTGTAACAGTTTAAAGACTGGAGGTATTGTTGTCTCCAGTTAGAACCTTCCTGACTGTATAAGGACTGTTCTATTATTCTAGTTCCAGATTGCATTCCAGATGATAGTTCCAGATTGTAGGTCCAGGTGGGAGCTACAAAAGTAAATCCTAAGCTTAGCTGCAGATACCCGATTGTCTGGACTGGACTGGAAGGTTCGGCCTGCCTGATGTGTCACCGAGGCTTAGCCAGAAGCTGACATAAGCTACAGCTAAGTGGACAGTTGACCACTAACCTTTATAACAGGATTTTATATCCACAGCCATTTTGTTTATTATTTTGAAATCCAATTCGTAATAAATGTTAGTTTTAATGTTCCTACAGTTTTATGGAGTTTCATTTTAACTGTAAACATTGTCAGTTAACTTAAGAACATTTAAATATACAATCTTAATTACAGTAGGGAATAAGATGTGGGCAAACCCCAAATCCTCTAATTTAACCAGCAAGGCTGGGGGTAATATAAACGTTTATTAAGATTTAATGTTTGTAGTTCCCTCTGTAAAGTGCACATAGTGCAGTCGCTAGTAAAAAGCGAAGTTACCCGCCACATCCGTGCAGAGTGACAAGCATCACTTCAAAGATCTTTGGTAGTTAGCGTCGTTTGGATATTTTCTCCAGACATGAAGGTGTGATGGGAAACGAACAGACAGATAGACCAGCCTGTTCTGCACCTCTTGGTGGTGAAGTGATGTATGACAAGCTAGATGTTGTTAGGGCCCTTTGGGAGCGAGTGAATAATGCGGAGTCACAAATATATCATTACAGTCTGAGGAGAATGGCGCTGCGAGAAGCTAACAGGGTATTTAGTGGACGCTAAACACTCAAGGGAAAGGAGAGACAGATACACAGCCAAATAGTTATGTTATGTTATCACAATCGACGTCACTGCACACATGGCATTCCCATGCGTGCTCCATCCTCCGATGCAACAGCCACTCCAAAGTACTTCTACTAATTGTTCCCACGAGAAGCTGTTTAAATTGTCTCCAATCTCGGCTTTGAAGACGACATAGACATGCTTCACCATGCTTTACTACCATGTCACGCAATCGTGTTAGTGTCAGGAATTCCTCATTATCCACTTGCCCAGTCCGTACAGTGTTGACGATATCTGCTCTGTCCATGATTTTCCCCGGAATCCTTAGTGCAGTACTTGCCTGTTGGTCCGCTCGCTCATTTCCCTTTACCCCTGCATCACCAGGTGTGTAGATCCAGGTGAGGAAGGTTAAGTGTGATTTTCGAATTCTTTCTACCAATTCAGAGCGTATACCGCCTGTTGCTATCTTCTGAAGTATATTCATGGAGTCTGATACAATAACTGCCTGTGTGGCGGTTTGCTCGGATTCCCATGCTAGTGCCTTATTTCCATGGTCATGCTTGCCGTGGTAGCCAGATAGTTACTGGTAGCATCGGAATTGACACTCTTCGCTTGCTGCTGAAGATGGGGACGAAGCGCTTATAGGAGTGTCCCGATGTGGATTCTTAATTCAACATTCAACAAACAAAATGTGACGGATCTGGTTTACGACTTTCCGTAAAGAATGTGCACATTCTTTAGGAGTACACAGCCTCAATAAATAATAAATGTCATCTATAAAGACTGAACTTCATTAAATGTTTGATATATGTACATACTAGAAGTCGGCTCTGCGGCTAAGTCGATGCGAACGCTTCGTAATGCCGGGATGCCGGGTTCGATCCCAGCTGCGGGACATGCGCCTTGCGTTGGTTTTGACAGTGGTATCAAGAAAGCCGACCGTCCAGGAAGCAGTGGCAAACTACTGGACGTAAATTTGCTTAGAAAAACCACACAACAGCCAGGGGCTGTTGGGGTTGGTTCTGCAACGTCCTGTAAAGGATACGCAACTAACCTTTAACATACTAGAAGTCGGCGTCTGTGGCTTAGGCGTTGCAAATGCGTTTCGAAATAACGAGGTGCCGGGTTCGTATGTCAGAGACAGAATAAACAAATATGTAGGAAGGACATCAGGGTCCTCTCTTGGCCATGGTGAAATGTCACGAGCTAGATTAGTTCGGGTACGTATGAGACATGATTCGATTAAAGACTATTTCAAAGAGGGTTTCATTAGGGGTTGGGGGAAGCGGGTAGTGAAGAAGAGGAGGGCAAAGAAGAAAACGGAATGACAACATCAAGAAATAGACAGGTCTTAGTTATCATACACTTATTTATCAAGCGGGAGACAAAGAAAGGTGGCAGATTTTATGTACTAGTGCTTTCATCGATACACCTCGACGACCCTAACGCGTCAAGGGGTATGTTATAGCGTAGTATACGCGATCGGATGTTTCCAATAATGTATCCGCATTTCACAGTTTCATAGCATAAAAGGTGGATGAGGAGTGTTCAAGAAGTTCATTGATCCTACAGTGATTTGTTTCTCTCTCCACAGCGCTATGTCCGATCTAGCATATCTGGGAATTCCTAGATCGAATTCATCTGACCTGCAAATACCCAGCCAGTGTCTGTCTGGAAGCGTTAACTGGCATAGTCCAATGGTAAAAATGGAGTTGAATGTTCTTTGCTACAATTGTGCATCTACGTCATGGGAAATATTTATTAATTATCTTCACCATCGTCATCATTATCATCATCATCATTGTCGCCACCACTGTTACCGCCATTAATATTATTACTTTCCAGTGTGTATCCTGGGGTCCCATTGCTAGTTCCAGGGTCCCATTGTGAGTTCAGGGGTCTCATTATGGGTTCCAGGGTCCCATAGTGAGAAGGATGAGATGGAACAAACCCAGTGCAACCTAACAAGCATGCCACAACAGTCGACTAATTAGTGTTGTTTCCTTTGACGTCGGAGTGAATCTGCCAGAGATGGAAGGAACCAACAGATGACACCGGGTCGCTCATTGGCACGCCGGTAGACGACTTCGTCGCATGTCGGGACAGTATTTGGGTCTGTCTCATTAACACTGCAAGAGTCCTTTTTAGGGCTACTTGGTGGCGAGCAACGCTAAGCTATTTTATATGGCGCAAAAAAACTAGTCACCTTTATAACCTAAAGATCCCGTTTAGGGGACGCTGATTGAACTTGACGATTTTGTTTGTTTGTTAGTAAATATGCCCAGATCTGTAAAACGGATTAGCAGGCAAAACTTAAATTCTGGATCAAGACCGACCAAAGTTCAGGAGTGAAACAACAACCAGAACGACAGTGAACGACAAGAAGAACAAACTGTGTTCTAAATGTTATACGTTATCATATTAGGTTATTGAAAAAAAATTAATTTATCCTCTTCACTAACATCTTCCAGCCCTAACATGGGTACCAGGATATATGTCCTGGGGAAGTAAAGACCGTCGGCGTAATGCTGACCACAGTATCCACCTAGTACCGATTGGTCTGTAAAAATATGGGTACTCTTCCTAAATGCCCGATGCGCCTAAAGGAGTGAAAAGGTATCTTTGCTTTTATTTTTACTTACTAACATCTTCATCGTCGTTGCAGTCCCCATTGTCACCGACATGAATATTATCATCAGCATCATCAGGGTGGTTAGTTTAAAGTCTGTTGCTGGATTCTTCTGACAATATCACCCAACTGTGTCCTGTTCTCACAAGTTTTCTTGACTGATTTTTTACTCCACCAGGACATCACACAGAGCGATAAACACCCGTTGACACAAAGTGCTACCATGCGGATGAGGATCACCCGTGGAGAAGACCCGAAAACCCCGTTCAGCCGTTAGGCCATATTTATGGTCCGGCTATATTTGTGGCCCTCGGCAAAAGCTAGGTGGGGCTTCAAATAACTAAAATCTGCATCCCACATAGGGACGACAGATACAAGTTTTCTTGAGCTCTGTGGACTGGTGTATCCCTGTGGTAATTTATGAGTATGTGGCGTTTTGATTTCGTATATGTGTTTATATATATATATAATCTTTAAGCATATAAAGGACTATTTATGCGCCTTCAGACTATTGGGCATATAGGGCTAGGCATATATTTTATAGGCCAATCCCCACTTGGTGGGCTATGCCAGTGATGGTCAGTGGCATGACTTAATTTGTGAACGCGCTCCATCGAATGCTACAAAAATAAGGGGGAAGTCTCATAAACAGAACACGTTTTAAAGCATGGAGAAGGGTCAATGACTCTGCGAGAAAAAAATCCATGTAACAAAAATTGTTTGAGGTGTGCGGTTTTTAACAACGGATCAACGTCATGGCACACGGGTAGTAACCCATAAGTGCTCTGTTCTTTTTCTAACTCAAGTCTGAGCTCGAAGAAGCTCAGCACAGTGCACGGCCTCTGTAGCACCGGCGAAGATCCTGAAATACTTTAGGCAGATTTTTACACAATTTTTCCAGGGCAGCGCCGTTAAGCTACTCTTTTCGATTTCCAAAGGCAAATAATTTTTTACGTGCGCAGCAATGCAAACGGGCGTCCAATCTCACTACCCAGAGACCAGGAGGAATTACTAGATCCAAGTCCATGTGAAGAAATCCCAGCCCTTACTGGAGATTGAACCCGGAACCTCTAGCACTCGAGGTAGACACCATGACTCGAGACCACGCAGCGCCCATGAAAGATTGTTTGAACACTGCAACAGAATTGTTGTACTCCACACCAGGGATACCTCGTTCTGTACACAAACCGAGACAACGGTGGATATCAGATATGTATTGAGGAGTCCTGGGGGTTCAACATAGGTCAACTAAGGGACCTCACCGGTGAGCAGGATCGGGTGCTACCTTTACCTACCCTGGGTAAGTAATATTTGATGACGTCACACCACTAGAGAACATAAATCACAGTTTGTAGCTAGTGTGTTTTACAGTCATTTTTTTTTCGATATGAGATAATTCATTGCACTAATATCGTTGATACCGAAAGCTTCATTGATATTATATTTATATCACATCTCAGTGATTTTAATTCTACTTTGACTTGGGCCACTGAAAAGAATTGTGAAAATGATGTGTGAAAAAATTTACGGATTCCACGGCTAAGAGCAGACCCACGTGAGAGTGAGCGCTGGTTTACGAATCCTGTGAGTCAGAGGCCGCAGTCAGCGAAAGTCTGACTCTTGTTCGTGTTTTGTGCCGTTTAAATCACGTGTTTTTGTGTGTGTCGGGGCATCTGCACTAACTATATGAAAATGGAGCTATTTTAGAAAATGTTGTTCTGAATGATTTAGTGTAGATATTCGTAGGAAGGTGGAGTATGGGTTGGTCCGTGTCTGTTGGGGTAAGCATTGTTGCATCTATGTGTCACGTTGGTGACTTGAGGTAACTGTGTGTTGAAACCAGTGTGAGGTGGTGATGAGAAGGTGTCAGAGGAAACTTCCGAGTGGGACAAATTATCAGACGACGTTCGGAATTATATTGACCAATTTGTTACGGCAACCGTAAATCCTCAAATGGCAGAGTCTTTGGGATTAGAAGTCCTCCAGAGGATGGTTACAGTCATCAGTGGATGGTTACGGCCATCAGTGGATGGTTATGGCCATCAGTGGATGGTTACGGCCGTCAGTGGATGGTCACGGCCATCAGAGGATGGTTACGGTCATCAGTGGATGGTTACGGCTATCAGTGCAAGATGGATTCTGCGCGATCAGGCACAATGTTCCGGTAGCAGCCATCAGGATATAGGGTGCACAGATGTACTGCGTTCGGTCCAGTTGTGGAGACTGGGGAGAACTGTTCTGTAAACAGAGACAACGATGAATATCAGCTGTTTATTGAGGAGTATTGGGGGTTCAAGACTGGACAACTGAGGGACCTTACCGTAGAGCAGGATCAAATCCTTCCATTACCTACCCAGGGTAAGTCATATTTGATGTCACTTTTCTAGAAAACGTGAGTTACCATTGGTAGCTAATGTGTTTTATAGTCATATATTTATTGATTTTTCTTTTCGATATGAGATACGTTATTGTACTAATATTCGTGAGATCAAAAGCTTCATTGATATAATTTTTTTAAACATCACGCTGATTTCAGTTCTACGCCGACTTGAGTTCGGTCAGTCACCTTGTGCCCTCCAGGCTGCTACTTAAATGTTTTAATATACTATCCTGAGATTTACAAATCTCAGTCTGGAAGTCAGACCGACAAGGCAGATCTTGAATACCCCGTTCAACCTCCGAATAAGTTATAATTATGGCACTCGTAATGGCTACACGATCCAAGTGTAACCTGCGGTCTATGTGGGTAAGGACCAACGCGACTTTAGAAACCATAGCTGGATGTCACGATATATGTAAGAGCGCCACCACCTCCTCCACCATATTTAGGGGCTGTTGAAGAATCGACATCAAATCACTCGGGACACTCCCGTAAGTGCTTGGTCCCCATCTTCAGCAGCAAGCGAAGGGTTCCAATTCCAATGGCACCAGCAACCGTCTGATTGTATAACCGTCTTATCGTTGCGCTGAGTGTTTAGCCTCGGCCAGATCCATTGTAACTGTTCGCAGCGCCATGCTCCGAAGACCGTATTTATGGGCATATTCATACTATTTAAAGTTAGTTGCGTATCCTTTACAGGACGTTGCAAAACAAAGTTCGGCATTGTGTGTGTGTGTGTGTGTGTGTGTGTGTGTGTGTGTGTGTTTCCTTTTTTCTAGGCAAATGTCATGTTCAGTAGTTTGCCCTTACTGACTCAACGGTCAGACTGACTCAACGGTCAGCTCTCGGTACCACTGTGGAAACCAACGCATGACAAATTGTCTGCAGCTGGGATCGAACCCGGCACCCCGACGTTAGGAAGCCCGTTCGCAAGGCCTAAGCCACATATGCTGTCTCATACTATATGTGCACTGTTTTTATCCAAAGTGATTAATAGGTTCCACTGCTGTTAACAGGAGTATCTCTGAACGTGGAACTCACTTGTCCTGCTTAACCATGTGGATGTAGAAAGCAAAATGAAACTACCACATTGTTATTCCAAGAAACTAATCATAAAAACATTTTTGGCTATCCTCCGAATAATGGTCCCAAATTATCGAGGCCGAAAATATACCCTAACAGGGCCTCAGTCACATGTAAATTTCGGACTCCCAGCGACTTAAATTGCGAAATTCCGGCGACTACCACATTGCCGAGATAATCTAGATGACTAGGACTCACGAGCAGCAGCTACCGTATCTCCTGCAGCTTCCTTCATTTTATTCTCTCGTGAGTCCCAGTCATCTAGATACTCTCGGCGGTGGCGGTAAGTAAAAAAAAAACAGTAAAGGCCCCTTTTTCACGCCTTTAGGCATATAGGGCATGTAGGGCTAGACCTATATTTGTATAGACCAATCGGCACAAGATGGGTGATGTGGTCAGCATCACATGTTCTGTTATATTTAGATCGAATGACCCTAGCTATGTGTTGCATTTTGGTTATGTAAGGTGTCTGGAGGCTGCAGGAGATGCAAAAGCTGCTGCTCGTGAGTCCCAGCCATCTAATTTAGCCCGAATCCACGCCGCGCGTAGCGACGTGGGAGATACTCTCGGCGGTGGCGGTAGTCGCCGGAAGTTCGCAAATTAAGTCG